CTCACACACACATGGCTGCTTGTTCTGTGATTGGAGAGTAAAGGGTGCCAACAAATTATTTTGCCCCATTTTGTCTCTTCCTCACGCCCCCCACCGGCAGCCTTCAACTTTGATGTGTTGCATTGTGATCATGATATGTCCAACAAGGTTGGATGTTGACAGAGAGATAGAGAGAGCTATTCCCACTGGCAGGGGTCTGTCAGTAACTAGGGAGCACTGTTTTAGGAGAATTGGCAAAAGAACCGGAGAGGAGATGAACATTTAAACACATTGGGGTGATGATGATTTGGATCACACTGTCTCAGAGGGCAGCAGAAACTGACTCAATATTCACTTTCCAAAACAGAGTTGGATAAGCGCTCAAAAATGACAGGGCTTTGGGGAAAAAGCAGGGGAGTGCGACTAAGGAGAGAGCTCATTTGCAGATCCAGCACAGGAACAATAGGCTGAAATCCTCATGCACTGTGTGAGTCTGTGTGATCCCATTGGAGGAGCTGGATTGGACCAATGGGATGTGATTCTTCACGTTCAAATTAAATGTCCTGTCTGAATCACTTGATTGGCTTCAGATTCAATATTTACATTAGATCACAGCCAATTGATCTCAAGCCATTACAGCTAACTAATGTTGATCATTCCTGTGATGAAGCCTTCAAATCCCCATTAAAACCATAAGATTTGGAGTGAGATTGGGGAATGGGGTTCCTCACCCTAACCAACAGGTAATTGAGTTTTGGAGTCAATTTTCAGAGAATGTTAAACTTGCTACTTGTGTTCTAGAAATCTCAGTACTTGATAGCTCACGCACAATGTTGTAAACACCAAAAGTCTGCATATGTTACAGAAAAAATCAATTATCCAGCCTGATCTTAAAATTACACTATCTACTCCAAATGCATTAGGACTCTGGCTGTAATAACATTCCAAATCCTGGATCACAAGCTTGAAATAAGATTTAGTCTGAAAGCACAGTTGGATATTATAATTATAACTAGAAGCAAGCAACTCTGAGCCAACTTCTGTTCTCACCAGTGAGACCCTCCTCTCAATCTTTGTTTTAAAATTCATTTGTGGGACGTGGGCATTGCTGGCATTTATTGCCCATCCCTAGATGTCCCTTAAGAAGGTGATGGTGAGCTGCCTTCTTAAACCGCTGCAGTCCATGTGCTGTAGGTAGACCCACAATGCCCTTAGGGAGGGAATTCCAGGATTCTGACCCAAAGTTCTGCCTTCCATAAGGTCATCATCTGTATTTCAATATTTGTCTCTTCTTTCTCTGCACTTTTCTATTAAACTGAATCTCCTGTTATGTCATTTTCATGTAATAGTACATCAACTTTATAGCAGTAAAACAGGCCATTCAGCCCATCGGGCCCACCGTTCTCCAGGATTAATAGTCTGACCGACTGGTGAATACTTGATGGAATTGCTAAATGTATTTTTCTGTTATGTGACTTGAGCTGCACAAAGGAAATGGAATAGTCTGCTGGGGATTCACAGTTGCCGAAGGGGGGATATGAGACCCTCCCTCTATGTTGAACTGTATACCTAGCTATTCATTCTTCTCTCTTCCCAGTTCTCTGCTGAACGCAAATCCTGAACGATTAATCACTGAACCGTACTATGATTTAAGGGTAGGATGAGGTGGTAGGCCCCAGCTGGAACAGGAATTCAATCCCGTTGGAACAGCATTGATTTGATCCATTAACTAGACATCTAGCCATCTGGGCTAACTGTCCAATCACATCTTCCACCACTCCCCTCACCAACCCAGCCCTTTCCCATCCCTTCCTCCATCAGCTATTTATCCAGCTTCCCCTTGAATGCTTAGCCACTGTTGATGTCAGCCACACCTTCACATAGTGAGCTTGTAGGTGACTAATATCATAGATTCAAATATAAATTCGGGTGTTTGTTTATGGGATGCGAACATCACTGGCTGAGCCAGCATTTACTGCCCAGAGAGCAGTTTAAGGTCACCCAGTTTGCTGTGCGTTTGGAATCACCTGTGGGTCATACCAGGGAAGGATTGCAGGTATTTGTCCCTGAAAGACATTAATGAACCAGATGGGTTTTTACAACAATCGACAGTGGTTACATGGTCACCATTAGTCCAGCTCTTCATTCCAATTTTCTTTTAATTCAAATTTCAGCATGGAATCACAGAAATGTTCCAGTGCAGGAGAAAGCCATTCCGCCCACCTTTCCACATCAGTTCTATTCCCTTTCCTTCTCCCCATTGCTCTGCACACTATTTCTAAGCCAAATAATTATCCAGTGCCCCTCTTGAATGTGCAGGCTAGGTGGACTGGCCATGCTAAATTGCCCATAGTATTCAGGGATGTGTAACTTAGGTAGGTTACAGGGGGATGGGTCTGGTTGGGATGTTCTGAGGGTTAGTGTGGACTTGTTGGGCCAAAGGGCCTGTTTCCACACTGTAGGCATTCCATGATTCTATGATTCTAACATTGGAGCTTGCTGTTCTGGATTTACTAATCCAGTGACATTGTTATTATGCTGCCATCTCCTCCTGAATCCATTTCTCATTTATTTTAGTCTATCTTGTGACGAACAATAAACTGTCTCTGTTACATTTTCAGACTAAACCTGAGTCTGGTTGGTTTGGCCAAAGGTGTATTTTTTCCTTTTCAAGCCACGGTAAATGCCCAGTTAACCATCCCATTTCTTGCATACAGCTCAAGCATGGAACATAAACATTCACCCAGTCCCAGTGTCAAACATTTGCTCGCCATTAAGAGTATTACATGCCACGTTTGTCAAAAACAGAGTACCATTTAACAGGCTCACCAGGAAGTAGAAAATCAAAGTTGGAATAAGAGGGGATTTGATTTGCTTCTGAACAGAGTTGGGGGATACAAAGGGAAGTGAGGCAAAAGGAAGGATGAAAAGATGCAGCAAGACTCTGGATAAGTAGATGCAGTGAGGAAACAGAGCAGTGAGGTGCGAGATTAATAAAGGTGGAATAACAGCCCTCTATCCCCAAAAGAATGCCTACGTTCTACTCTCAATCGAACCAATCAGCACCACAGACAATTCTTTGTGCATCCCTTTGTACATTAGGGCACCCTTTTACAGGGCAGGGCCCTGTGTCCTCCTGTCAACAGCCACATCCTGTCAAACCATAACCTTCCAAGTTCTCCCACATTATGAATCTACCCGCCCCCAATGATGCAGTCCCTATAGTATTAGAAATGCAGAATAAGTGCTTAGCAACGTGCCAAAACAGACCAGAAAGTGATCAGCTGTGAAACAAAATGTTACTAATAGAATATAATGTTTGATATTTCTGGTATTGAGTGCCAGGCCAGACTTTTACCTCAAGTGATGATATTTGATATTTTGGTGAGAGAAGTTGGGTTTTGTTTTAATGTGATTCGCCTTGACGGTCCACAGCAGTACCGAGGGACGGCTGCACTGTCAGAGGAGCTACCTTTCAGGAGGGACTTAAAAGTGTCATCTACTATCTAAGATGGATGTAAAGAATCCTGCAGCAGTGTTTTAGAAGGGCATTGAGGTTACTTTTCTGGTGTCCTGGCCAATATGTATTCTTTATTCACCCAGATGACCATGCTGCTTGCAGGAGCTTGCTGTGTGCAAATTGGCTGCTGCGTTTCAAATATTGCAATAATGTGAAACTCATCCAGTACTTCATTGGTTGAAAAGTGCAATGGGATGTCCTGAGGGAAAAGGCGCTATACAAAAACAGGTCTTTTTGTGTTTTTCTTTCTATTGTTAAGCATGTGGCTTATTTTTTTCCGAACAATGAGCTTGAGAGAGCTAAATTATAATTCAGCAATGAGAAAAGGAAGCCTTAACTTGCATTTTTCTCTTTGATTCTGAGTATTTATTTTTGAATGTAACTTTAAGTTTTTTTTTTAAATAGGGAGTGCTAACCAGGTTCCACAAAGCTTATTTCCAGATGCTGAGTTTTGATTGTGTTTTTTGATTGCTGATTCGCATTTTTAATTTCAGTCAGTATTTTCACATTGAATTTAGCTATGTCAACTGTCACATCACAGTTGCAACCTTGGCCACTAAGTGGCTCTATGGAGCAGGCATCCAATACATCTATGCTAATTCCATCGCAATTCTGTATGTCAGAAAATCCTACATCCATCAGCTGAATGTGAACGAAGCCACGGATAGTTTGCCAGTTAATATTTGTAGTTAGTTAAGACTGATAATCAGTGTATGTAATTAACATTTGTATTGAGTAATGAATTGCAATAAGCATTTGCCATTTTATATGGTTGGTATATATTAAAAAAAAGTATTTCCAATAAATATATGGAATTAGCATTTGAACTTAGTATTGGAAATTAGCATATGTGTTTAATTAGTAATTGTAGTTAACATATGTAATTAGCCCATTTAATTAGTATTTGTAATTAGCATCCAAACCATATTTTGTAATCAATTAGATCTCAAACTTTGGGAAGTGTGGTATTTGGTACCTACAATTCACTCAGTGCCTTGGGTTCCAACATTGTAGAAAGAATAGAAGTGGGAACTTATTCCTGACTGGATTCCCTTTGTCAGGATCTACATCCATCAAATTCTTGACTGCTGTCTAGTGAAGAGACTGGGCCTGGACTGCACCTGGAAATGGATGTTGGTTATGGACCGTGTTAAACTCAACTGTGAGGTCTTCCATGGTCGATTTTTACACCCACATTTTCCAGCAGAGGACAGCAACCGGATGGTGACAGTGGAGTGGCCTGGGCTGTGATGCCTTTTAAAGTAGAATATCCTGACATTCTAAAAACTGAAAGAACCACAGATGCTATAAATCAGAAACAAAAACAGAAATTGTTGGAAAAGTTCAGCAGGTCTGGCAGCATCTGTAGAGAGAAATCAGAGTTAACGTTTTGGGTGGAGTGACCTTAGAAGGGTCACTCGACCTGAAATGTAAACATTGATTTCTCACCACAGATGCTGCCAGACCTGCTGACCTTTTCCAACAATTTCTGTTTTTCCAGCTTGACTTTCTGCCAGTGAGGATTGTCAGGTCCAGGAGAGGAACTGTCATACAGATCTGACTGCAAGGGGCAGAAGCCTGGGGAGGGAAGTTTAAAAAGAGGCATGTTTATAAGCTTCAGGCTGGCTATCATTTACCCCCAGTATCCTGCCCATCCTGATAGCCCATAGCTGCCTCCACTGAAACTGCCCACACTCAATACCCTCCATTGTCCCCTCCTGGCTTCTTCTGCTGATCTGAATTCCTGAGCTTGACCATCCCAAGAGCAAAGCATGACATCCCCACACTGACAGCGGCTGTGGATACTCACTGGTGAGTGGTTTTCATCCACGTGTTGTTAAACTAGTTGGTCTGCTCTGTCTGCATGTCTTTAGGTGTGAACTAACCAGGGTCTCGTTTCCCTTGTTAAACAGTGCGACGTTTTACAGTGTTCTGAGCATGCTAAACCTCCTCCAACAGAGAAAATCCACAATGTAATCCTTTCTCTTAATGGTCTGCTGTAACCATGTGACGCGCACATTCATTTGTATCTAATAAATAATTTATTTTTCATAAAAAGATCTTTCTGCACTTTTCCTGTTGATTTTCTCTTCGACTTGACACTGAATGTTTTTGCTACAGACTGATTCCTAGCTTTAATCTGCAACTTGAACGTTAGAATCAGTGACTCCTAAACACTCTGATTACTACCTGCTTTCTTCCTCACACGGTATTTGGTGGGCCCTTTAAGAGCCATTCAATCTCCACCATTTCCTCTATCTGTCATGTGGGAGTCTTAACTACACAGGGAGGTGAAGGTTTAATGATATAACACAAGATTGCTCATCCAGAGACAGGATGATATTTAAAGGGCCTGAGTTTGAATCCCACCATGACAGATAGTGGAATTCAAATTCGATTTAAAAACAAATCTGGAATTGAGGGTCTAAATTGACCTTGAAACAAAATCTAAAATCCTTGAGGGATTTTAGTCTTACATGCATCGCTTACATCTACAATAGACTGTTACACTGTAATCATTCTGTAGCATCCATATGCAAAATAGTCCTTTAAATGTTAAGGACTCCTGTGGTGATAATGTCCCTGCCTCTAGGCCAGGAGAGTTCAAGTCCCATCTGCTTCAGAGGGGTGCCCTAACATCTCTGAACAGCGTCTTATGATGAGTTAGGGGGAGATGGTTTTGTCATGGTAATGTCACTGGTATAGTCGGCCAGGCTATTGCTGTGGGCGCACAGGTTCAAGTCCCACCACAGGCAGAATTCAAATTCAATTCGATAATAAAATCTGGAATTTCAAACTGACTGTGATAATGATCATCAGTTGTTGTAAAAACCCCAGTGAGTTCACTAATGTCCTTCAGGGAAGGAAATCTGCCATTCTTACCTGGTCTGGCCTACAGGTGACTCCAGACCCACAGCCAACAGGAGCTGGTGGAATTCAAATTCAATTCTTAGATAATAAAATAATTCAAAGCTGATCAATGACAGAGACCATGATGATGATAACAGTCATAGTCATAGAGACATACAACATGGAAACAGACCCTTTGGTCCAACCAGTCCATGCTGACCATAATCCCAAACTAAACTAGTCCCACCTGCCTACTACTGGCCCTCCAAGCCTTTTCTGTTCAGGTACTTATCCAAATGTCTTTTAAATGTTGTAACTGTACCCACATCTACCACTTCCTCTGGCAGTTCATTCCATACATGAACCACACTTTGTGCAAAAACGTTGCCCCTCATTTCATCTCTCTCCTCTCACCTTAACAATGTGCCCCCTAACCTTGAAAAACCCCATCCTGGGGAAAAGACAACTACCATTAACTCTATCTCTACCCTTCTTTATTTTATAAACTTCTATAAGGTCGCCTCTCAACCTCCTATGCTCCAGTGAAAAAACAGTCCCAGCATTTCTCTGTAACTCAAACCTTCCATACCTGGCAACATCCTGGTAAATTTCTTCTGAACCCTCTCCAGTCACCCGGCTATCACTAATAGTCTTTAGGGAAATAAGTCCACCATCCTTTACCTGGTCTGGCCTACACGTGACTCCAGATCCATAACAATGTGGTTGACTCTTAACAGCCCTCTGGGCAATTAGTGACAGGCAGTAAATACTGGCCCAGCTAGTGGCACCCATGTCCCTGAATAGATTGAAGAAAAATTGACTATGGGAGCATTAGCTGCACCTCTCTGCATCTTGCCACGTGCACCCACACCCCAGAACTGCTCAGTAACCATTGCACAAGTCTGGTCTTGTTTCCAGAGCGTTGGGCCATGGACCTCCTTTGGATGGGTCCATGCGTTTTGGGAAGACTATTGGAGGATGGCTGACCAGATGTCTCTCTGGCTCTCTGGTTATTGGGAGGGTTTACAGGCTGACAATCAAGCTGTTCAGTCTCGCTGCTAATGCACCTTTCTGTTGTCAATGCATCCCGGTGTAGGATCGTAAACCTAGAGCTCCTGGCCCAGAGACAGGGACGCTACCCGCTGTACCACAAGATCTCCCACCAGTCCTGTGTATTTGCAAACATTCAAGAAACCGCCAGGGAGTGAATAAGAAACAGGCACTTTACCTAATTCCAAATGAAATGAAACAAGCTGGTAATTTAGCTGTGGAGGATGTGTTCTATAACATTTTTAGCCAAGGGAATAGAAGGGGGAGAAAGTTTAGGGCAAGACATTTAGAGTTTTCTTTAATTCATTCACAGGGTGTGGGTGTTGGTGGCTTGGCTGTCTTTATTGCCTGTCTCTAACTGACCTGGCGAAGTTGACGGGGAGCCTTTGATTGATTCCTTTACAAAATCACAAAATTATTATGGTGCAGAGAGAGGCTATTCAGCCCATCATGCTTGTACCAGCTCTAGTGTCAATCTCTTGCCTTGTCCCCATATCCCTGCTATTACAACCCAACACAAAACGCCCAGTGCCCTTTAGAATGCCTCAATTGAACATTATTGTAGCTCTGATTGTACCTCTCATTTATGCATTTATTTAAAAAGGGAGGGAGATATAAAACAGGTAACAATAGGCCAGTTAGTGTAACGCTTATTATTGAGAAAATATTAGAGTCTATTAGAAAAGATGTAATTACAGAGCATTGAGAAATACATCATAAAATAAAACACAATCAACATGGCTTCATGAAGGGGAAGTGCGTGTGTGTGTGTGTGTCTCTCTCTGTGGATCTTTCTCTATGTTGGTGTGTTTTTCTGTCTGTGTCACACTGTCTTGTGTATGTGTGATTCTGTCTAGCTGTCTGTCTGTTTGTCTCTGTGCGTTTGTCTGATCCTGTTTGTCTGCGTGTGTCTGACTGTATACCTCTCTCTCTGTCTGTGTCCCACTGTCTTGTACATACGTGTTTCTGTCTCTGTGTTTTTCTGTTTGTCTCTCTCTCACTCTGTGTCTCTCTCTCTGGCTGTCTGTCTCCGTGTCTTTCTGCGAGTGTCTCTCTCTCTGTCTCTGTGTATCTGTGTGCATTTCTCTCACTGTTGTGCCTCTCAGATAATTCTCTTTTGTGAAAGTTATTCGATGGTATTGGGATTATATGGCAGAGGAAGGTGGATGGTGAGTGAGAAACAGGAACAGAACTGAGGTGGATATGTGGAAAAGGAAGGGGATGGGGAGAAAAGAGGGGACATGTATAGGAGGGCAGGAATGGAGAGGGATGTAGAGAAGGTGAGACAAGGGGATTTGGAAGAGGGGAGGGCAGAAAAGAGAAACATTATCAAGAACATGAAGTGCGTAAAAATTCCATTCAGCAAAATTAATCAGAAAAGGGCAGCGAATCTCACATAGTGACTGCGCAGACTCCAGTAAAACCCAGGACCTCATCCCATTAACTAAAATGTCAGAGTGATGGGGTCCTGACCTGATGTTTAGAACATGCACAAACCATTCAAAGCCCAACCTTTGGGTGATGATATCATCTGAGCACTCAAACGGATTAAATCTCCTTCTCCTCTCTCCATGACTCCGTGCTTCCATATTCACCGACTGGACCCAGCCGGCATGCAGACTGGGAGACAGACCATCAGCATTCACCAGGTACCTTCTTACTGCGTTCGCATCATATCATCTTGGTGAAATTTTAAAAAAAACCACAGGAAACCAGCAAGCAGATCCTGATCGCAATGATCTGAGGGAAAGCAGAAAAAAGTCTTGACAGAATTGCACAAGAACAGCAAGCTCTGTCTGCCAGCAACTGCAAAGCTGTAAGAAAGAAAACATTCCATGTAAGTAGGATAGCACACAAACCCACAACGTGCCAAAGCCTGAATTGGTGGTGGAGGCAGAGACCCAAAAACTCTTCCTGGATCTGCACCTTAAGTGCTGTAAGATGCAGGCCTATGGGCTGTATGCAGGAAGGTGGGATTAGAAAGGGCAGCTGAGTGTCTATAGGGTCAACATGGGCAAGATGGATCGAATGGCACCCTTAGTTGTTGGAAGATTTCTCTGGTTAACAGCCAATCAAGTTACTGATGACATGCTTCAGAGATAGTAGGAACTACAGATGCTGGAGAATCTGAGATAACAAGGTGTAGAGCTGGATGAACACAGCAGGCCAAGCAGCATCAGAGGAGCAGGAAGGCTGAC